CTGGACTTGGGAGATGATAGGACATGCTCTTCCATTCCTACTGGAAGTGAGTTATTTGAATCGGCTACAATTTTCTGAAGGATGCAGTGAACTGGATCAACTTCCTTGACAGATTTGGTGTTCATGCTATAGCTCTGAGTGTTAAGACCACTCTCCCCTCTCCCTCAGCAAGGGTCTTAACCGATAGTGACAGGTCAGGGAGGGGCTTAGTTTCTTACTTCCCAGTCTCATTCACATTGTTCTAATGTCTTCAGTGCAAAAGCCCNGGAAAAAAAAAAAAAAAAAAAAAGGATGTCCTAGGTCATGTAAACTAGATAACTGAATACCATTACCTCATGAATATTTTTTCTCAGATCTGCTTTTAAGGTAATGAATTGAGCATGCAGAATTCTGTTCTTAGGTATGCAAAGTTTAAACTGTGCTTCCAGAACTGAGTGCATGTCTACATTCTTATCTGTTCCAGAGTTCCTGTTCTTATGTACAATTTATTGTAGCTATCGGAGTGTTTAGTCTCTGTCTTATCAAACATTAACCAACTACTAACTTGAGTAGCTTCAAAGGTGTAATAGATTGGCTTTTTAGACCAAAGAAGTAGGTATTTTTTACCCCTTGCTTCATTGGCCAAGGGAAGGTTACATGATCAGGAGTCTGGACTTGGGAGACGATAGGACATGCTCTTCCATTCCTACTGGAAGTGAGTTATTTGAATCGGCTGCAGTTTTCTGAAGGATGCAGTGAACTAGATCAACTTCCTTGACAGATCTTGTGTTCACACTATTGCTCTGAGCATTAAGACCACTCTCCCCTCTCCCTCAGCAAGGGTCTTAACCCATAGTGACAGGTCAGGGAGGGGCTTAGTTTCTTACTTCCCAGTCTCATTCACATTGTTCTCATGTCTTCAGTGCAAAAGCCCTAACCTGTAGGAATTGACATGTTTTGACTTTTCAGTTGCAGCAGGATATCAGAGACTGGAGTAAATCACATGCTGAACTCAGTGAGCAAATCAAATCATTTAAGAAGTCTCAGAAAGATTTAGAAGTAGCTCTTACTCACAAAGATGATAATATTAATGTAAGTTCATTCTCATGAATACATGCTTAATTCTCATGAATTCTCATGAAATTTGCTGAATTAAAATTGAGAGGCTCTTACAGATCCCCTTTTGCTTCTTTTCTAGGCTTTGACTAATTGCATTACACAGTTGAATCAGTTAGAGTATGAGTCTGAATCTGAGAGTCAAAATAAAGGAGGAAATGAGTCAGATGAATTAGCAAATGGAGAGGTGGGAGGTAAGATCAGTCTCAGGAGGTTGGACCCCTTGTTACCTTTCTGTCTTTTATTTAATACAGTGATGCTGCTTTTCAGCTGGCTGAATTTCCTCTTAAGCTTTAGAGTGGTAGACACATATCATTGGATTTCTATATATGTCTGTTTGCATTGGGCAGAGGTGGTTTCCTGGGGTGTGACATAGCAATTGGTATGCAAAGAACACTGATGGTTGTTTTTTTTTTTCCCCCATCCCATTGAGAACTAGTTAACATGCACTGTAACTGTACTGGTCATGTTTTATATCTCTAAGTATTGAACATATACAATTGGAGAAACTTGTTTCTCAGCTTCATAGAGATGGCATATGATTTTAATACTCGTCTCTGTAGCTGTGTGGTTTTAAGGCTTACAGCCAGTTTTAAGTGTACTGAGATGGTTGGAGCTATAAACTAACTTAGGCTGTGAGAGTGGAGGCTACAGGGTAGCAGTGTTTACTGGTGAGGAAAATGTTTCTAAACACAGTCTCCCAAGTTGGCTATTGCTTGCATAGTGGGTGTTTTATTTTTTTATTTTTTTTCCTTTTTGTCTTTTTTCGTGACCGGCAACAGGATCGCAACCCTTGGTGTTGCGTCCGCACTGCGCTCAGCCAGTGAGCGGGAACCGGTCTCCACATGGGATCCGAACCCTAGGCGGGAGCGCCGCCACACTCCTAAGCAGCGCACTCTCCAGTGCGCCAGCGGGCCGGCCCCATAGTGGGTGTTTTAAACCACACCCGGTAACAAATTCTGGGGGAGAACAGAGGAGTGACTCTTTCTAAAATAAGACACTTACCCAAGCAGAGATCTGAGAGAGAAGACAGAGCTTCATCTCAGATATTTCTTCTTGCTCAAAAACAGCATGGATAACATTTTTATTATACAAACTGGGAATTTACTTTTTAAATTATATTTGTAATTCTCTTAAAAGTCAATTAGTCTCATTAGTTCTGTTGGTTAATTTGTTTTTTTCACTTAGTATTTGAACATGGTAATTGTTTAGTTTGGGGGAAGTCAAGAAAATATAGAGTAGAAAAAGCAATTAAAGCCTTCTGTTTTTTAGGTGACCGGAATGAGAAAATGAAAAATCGAATTAAGCAGATGATGGGCGTCTCTCAGGTATAATCCTTTTTATAGAGTCACATAAGCGCTTGTGAATTCTTATTATGCCTCACTTTTAAGAATACTTCTCTCTTCTGCACTTTTTAGACACGAACTACAATATCAGTAGTTGAAGAGGATCTAAAACTCTTAAAATTTAAGCTAAGAGCCTCCATGTGCACAAAATGTAACCTGCAAGGTAGGTTGCTTCTTGAAAAGAAACCACCACACATTGGAAAGATACAAAATATCAATGGAAAGACGGAATTTGCTTTCTGCTTTGTTCTTCTCACCCCTGTTGGCACCGCCTTCTCAACCACGTTCTGAAGTCCTTGTGCGCACACATAGAGCTGAACTGTTTTGTCCTTTACAGATGAAATAAAGCAATTAGAAAAGGACTGCAGTTCACTGCAGTCTGCCAAAGCTGGACTGGAAGATGAATGTAAAACCCTGAGGCAGAAAGTGGAGATTTTGAGTGAACTATACCAGCAGAACG